GTTGTGCTTGAATATTTTTAGTCACAAAAAGCTAAAATCATTGATCTCTCTCTGGTCGCATTAAATTTAAAGTACCATAATATACCCAGAAGCCATTTTTAGAATATTTTGATGATGTCAGGTCTGTGGTAAGAGTTGTGATTTCTTATATCTACGCGAATTATTATATTTAACCTTGGTAATTAAAGCGGCACCCTGCCCTATAGATGGATGACAGAATGATTAAGGATGGCAATGTTTAGAATGTTCAGCTAAACGCCGATATTTTCATAATTGTATTAAAAACTTTTCGCCCGTCGAAGTGTGGTAATTTCTTAGATCTATTAGTGTCTGCAAATTAGTGACATTGGATTGTATCACTTGATGAAATCAAAAAATATTTCGATTCTTTATAGAATAGCTTTATACGAGTAACTTTTTGTTTATGAAAATCCCTATCCATAGACCATACAATCCGTTTCCAAACTGTGGCCTCCATAGCTTCCATACAAACTTCTAATATTTCCACTAACTTTTCTCCTGTAACTTCGGAAGATATCTAAAAGTTTATGTTGAGTATATGATAAGTAGACAGATGGTGGTCATTATATTAGAGCACATTTTCCACAATAGTTATCAATTTATTTAACGGCTTTAATAGTCGCAGGCTCTGTATTCCTTTCTATTCACAGCAACTAGTCATCTAGCGGGAGCGGTGCTAGAGGCGGGCCGTTACTTGAGTTATATTTTGTTTACAATTTTTAAGTAGATACGTTTTTTTAGTTTTTTTTTTTTAATATAATATCGGTGGCAAACGAGCACACAGTCCACCTGATGGTAAGTGGATGCTGTGGCACATATACATTTATCCCCGATTAAGAATCAAAATGCAGATGCGTTCTCACCTATGAGGACTAAGATGGAATGCCTCATTTCCAGTAAAAAGGGTCTCCGGTTCCCTACAAATAACAAATGTGCTGAGGACGTGTGCTCCGGAGTTGGCACCGGTCCTAACGCGTCTTTTCCGGTACTCCTACTCCCAAGGCGTAGTCCCGAATTCATGGAAGACAGCTTTTGTCCACCCGATCCTTAAAAAAGGCGACCGCTCAGACCCATCCAACTATAGGCCTATCGCGATCACCTCCTTGTTCTCCAAAATAATGGAATCCATTATTAACTGCCAGCTCATCCGGTACCTTGAGGATCACCAGCTGATTAGTGACCGCCAATACGGTTTTCGTCGGGGTCGATCAGCTGGTGATCTTCTGGTCTACCTGACCCATAGATGGGCGGAGGCAGTAGAGTCCAAGGGGGAGGCGTTGGCCGTTAGTCTGGACATTGCGAAGGCCTTCGATCGGGTTTGGCACAAAGCGCTTCTTTCGAAGCTCCCTTCCTATGGGCTTCCCGAGAAATTGTGCAATTGGATCACCAGCTTCCTTGCAGATCGGAGCATCAAAGTCGTTGTAGACGGTGCATGCTCTGACTACAAGCCTATTAACGAGGCTGTGTGCTATCACCAACGCTGTTTCTTCTGCATATCAATGATATGTTGCTAACTGGTAACATTCATTGCTATGCGGATGACAGCACTGGTGATGCTCTATACCTACACCGGCCGTGCCAACATTTCTCGGGAAAACGTCGCTGAGTACCGGAACAAACTTGTGTCTGAAGTCGAGTCTTTGCTGAACAAAGTATCGGATTGGGGGCAACTAAATCTAGTCCAATTTAATCCTCAGAAGACACAAGTTTGCGCGTTTACCGCTAAAAAGAACCCCTTTGTCGTATCTCCTCAGTTTCAAGGCACTCCCCTTCTTGCCTCAGCCAGTATCGGTATCCTCGGAGTCGACATATCGAGTGACGTGCAGTTTCGTGGTCACTTGGAAGGGAAGGCCAAATTGGCCTCTAAAAAGCTTGGCGTGCTCAGCAGAGCGGGACAGTATTTCATGCCGGCACACCGCCTGCTACTTTACAAGGCGCAAGTTCGGCCTCACATGGAATACTGTTCCCATCTCTGGGCAGGGGCTCCCCAGTGCCAGCTCCTTCCACTTGACCGCATCCAACGCAGAGCGGCTCGAATTGTCGACGACCGAGCCCTTTCCGATCGGCTCGATTCATTGGCACTGCGAAGAGATGTTGCATCCCTTTGGATTTTCTTTCGCATCTACCATGGGGAGTGCTCTGAGGAATTGTTCGGATTAATCCCAGCCGCCAAATTTCACGAACGCACATCGCGGCAGAACTCCCGATACCATCCACACTATCTGGATGATTGGCGGTCCACCACTGTGCGATTTAGAAGATGTTTTCTTCCTCGCACGACCTCCTTGTGGAATCGATTACCATCAGCGATTTTTCCGGACCGATACGACTTAGGGACCTTCAAGAAAAGAGCGTACTCCTTTTTAAAAGGCCGGCAACGCATCTGCGATTCCCCTGGTGTTGCAGTTGTTCATGGGCGGCGGTAGTCACTTACCATCAGGTGAGCCGCATGCTCGTTTGCCCCCTCCTATAAAAAAAAAACACCATATAAAACACAGCAACATTAAGCTGCTATTTTACACTGGTATTCTGTAAGAGCGTGGTCCTACCCTGGTTGAGCCGACCCATTCGTGCTACAACCATAATATAGATGCAGCGTAGCTCTACCATGTTTAAAAAATTCGTTTCATAATGAATACATATTTAAAAAAAAACTTAAATTAGTTTTATTCAATAAGTCTCTAATCAAAACTCTACGATTGTTTTAGATTAATACAAATAATGCTTATTTCTTGAAATAAAAGTGCAGTGTAATTATATTATTTCTTAAATCAAAACACCTAAAAGGACTTATACTCTTTGTATAATCTCATACATTTACTCATAGTTTATGAGTCCCCCTCTAATTTGTATCGAGTTTTAATATTTTTGCTGCAAAATTTCAAGGAACCCCTAGAATTTGCTTCTACTGACATATAAGTAAAAGAACGGTCTTTGTGAGAGGTTGTCACCGTCCGACAGCAAAATGGTGCTTGATGCACCACGAACATGTTCGATCTTTCAATCTGTTTATGGAAAACAAAACGAGGCCGACTTTGCTGTCACACTGGTCATGGACTCACTCCCCGCAGATCCGCTTCTGGACCGTTTATCCCGCTTTACCGCCTTTGCGTGACCTAAGCTTTAAGGTTTGTTTGGATTCCTTTTTCAGGAATAAAATATTCAAAAGAAGATTTCATTAATATTGGCATATACTGCGTTGACTATAATAGATAGAACTATCAAAGCTGTTGCCTTGCATAAAACGTCACAATTTTATCAGGAGAAGCCATGGGAGTGACTGTCTTCATACACCCCCTATAAAATAAACAACTAACTGTTTAATTTTAAATTATTACAATTTCCATTAAAAGTAGCATATTCAGTGACAAATGCCAGGAATGTAAAACCTTGAAAGTACCGGGATAGCTTGATTGTATCTAGAGCCTAAAATCTGCAGTGTAGCTGAGCGAATTTAAAAAAAATCAATAATAATTAAGATCAACTAATTTCAGTAAGTAATAAAGAAAATTAACGTGAGCGAAGCCGCGGATAAAAGCTAGTATTAAATAAATATAATGAAACTTAATACAAAGTAAAATCGACTTCAAAAACTAAAACAAAGTATATAGTTACCACCATTGAATAAAACTATTTTTACGGTTTTTATCGCGTTTAATTTATTTATTTTTATTTTTTATTCCGGACGCTTCGGGTGCTTTGTAGCACTGGACTGGACTGACGACTGTCAGTTTATTCCATTTGATTGCGTAAATATAAGAAATTATTTCGTAGTTTCCACCAGTTCCAGTTATTATATAGGAGAATTACAAGTAAAGTCCCGACTTCAGAAGCTAGAATGAGGACTTTTTCAGTGTTTTTAACCTTTTAAGTGGTTTTAGGATTATCACAAGTTCATAATCAATTAGAATGTTGCTTAAATTGCTGCATTAAAATCCTCATCGCCTATTTTCTACCGACTTCCAAAAAGGAGACGGTACTCAATTCGACTGTATGTTTTTTTTTATATGTGTTACCTCATTACTTTTTACTGGGTGAACCGATTTCCATAATTCTTTTTTTATTTTTATTTGAAAGCTGGTACTTCTGGTGTGGTTCCATATGAATTTGATCAAGGTCAGACCAATAGTTTTTGAGTTATTCTTAATAACTCTATTGAAGTCGGCTGTACAAAATTTTTAATTTTAGATTATCCAACCTTATGGGTGGAATTTTGTCTTTACATTTGTATGGAACCCTGAAGTAGAACCTATTTAAAAAAGTATTTAAATCGGTTTAACCGTTTCCGAAAAATTAATGAACATACATAATATAAGTATAGAATATAACTTCTCGTTTTGTGAACTCAGTGAAAAATACGAATACATTTATATTGCATAAGGCTGTTAACACTTGATTGCTTATTTTTAATTCTAATGAAGTACTTGGGATGTGGCATATTTACTTCAAAGATAAATGTACTCTATCAAGAGAAAGCTTCCCACTAAAAGTACCCATACAACAGGTACGTTTTGCTTCTATACGGAACCGGTTTCTAAGGCCCTGTGTCAGATTGATCGAAACTAGAAATTCTAATCCCGTAGGGCGCCTTTAAAGTTTTATTTTGGTTCGCTTTTTGGTGACGTATATACGTTTTACATAACATTGTGACGCTGTGAACATCTTAAATATATTGTACATTTATTACTACTATTATATTTGTGACTTTTATTCGAATGTCTCCTCTGATAAACTTTGACCGTGATTATCTGAGACACTGGCCTTTGTTCCTGAGAATATGGATACAGTGATGAACACAAGTTAGTATTTATATCGACGCTGTATCCATTTAAATCACATGTAGCGTGTAAAAATAACAAGAATAAACTTTATACAATAAGGACGTTGTATGATTCATCTCATATTACAACAGACATTTAATTGACCGTAAAAAGTGTGGGATCTTTGGTGTAATTATTTAAATTGTACTTTATTTTCAGGGTACGAGAATCAGGACTGGTTTATTCCTTCGCCGGCGCTGCCCATCAGCTCCGAAGATCTAGCTCTTACTCCTGATCAGATCAGGGAAACGCTCAATTACTTTCGTGAGTAGAATTAACATATCATATTTCTGTTATTTATAAATAATTACAACTTGTATTTTATTCACTTGAACTAAAATTCTTTTAAGTTAATGATAATTATTTTATATATATAATAATATATAATATATATCGACCCTTTGTTAAGTAATTAAAAAAATGGCCAATTGGTACATTTAGAAATTAACATAAATAGGCCAGATCCAGAAACAACGTTGTTTTTATATCTTTCTTTATAAGGCTGTCAGCCTATGGTTTTCGAAATTTGTTGTTTATCGAAATCTAAGATATTTTTCCGGATTTCCTTTTGTCTCCTGTACATTGTATGTTATATGGGCGATGATGTTAAATCGTTACGATATTTTTAAACCGTTGCGTGCGCATCGAATAAAACCTTGCTCGATGAGGTAAATTCATTGATTTGCTTGAAAAAGGTAAACTAAAATATTTTATAAGTCGAACGATTAAGAATTGTGACCTCACACCTACCCAAACTATAGAAATTTCAATAAACGGAGATCGATCGCATGGAATGACTGAAACGTTAAATAAATAACTTTGAGTTTGTGTAATAATATATTTTGTTTAAACAGAAAATTTTAAAAAGAAGCGAATGTGTTAAACGAGATATGGAAAGAAATTTGCATATAAAACGAGTTTCTCTTCATGTATCTTTTTACATTTATAAAGAAAATATAAAAATACATTTTCCTGCTATATGTTATGTGTTTATATGTGCATAGTATTTTTTATTTTACTCTTTATATTGTCACGATTACTGTATTCAAAAACCTGTTTACACTTTCGGAATAACAAATTATGTTAGTACGGCACAGTAGTACTCGCCGATTGTAAATTGTTATGTTGCAAATTTCTTGAATGCTCTTGCTGTAAACGTGTTGACCTTTAGAGCAAATTGCAGCAATCTCTTTGCCATTGTGCGAATTTAAAGTTATGTTTTCGTTGTATTGAACTGCGGATTCACAAATTCATCGTAATATACAAGTACTTATAAATAGGTACAGCGCGCGTCCTTCCTCAGTTATACCAAAAAGTATTGATTAACATAGAAGGGAGTACGGTTTCGTTTAGGTTGAGTTAATATGTGCTACTTGTTTTTGATATATATGTTTATATTAATAGACAAGATAACAGACCATTAGTTAATGTATAAAAATGCCAGTGAAAACGTATGCGTGGTGTATCTGGTAATTAATTAGATAAGAATTTCGTCGACGGATTTTTCTGTAACGCCAGTCACATCTGTGCCGGCAGAGCGCGTGCGCGGAGCCCGAGGCGCACGGAACGCGGACAGCAGTGCGGACCGCGCCGGTACAAATGCGACACGCGTACACCCGCGTAGACGATCGATACGACGCCGACAGTTTTGTTCTTGCACCGACGGATTGTGCTAAACATAGAGATGATTGGTGCACCGTTGCACTGACCGATATAGTGACGTCGTCCATGTCACACGAGTCATCACCTGCCGCATGCTTAAGAAAATCGCGATCATCGCACGCGGTCCCCAATTGTGTTTATAATCATCGATCGCTCGCTATACGTACTTTACGTAAGGTACCAATCTCCGCATGTCGACCATTTATTTTAGTGCGGTTTATATCGTGGTCTAAAAGCTCTCTTCATAACTACACGGTTAGAATTTCGATGCCGAGTTGACGTGCCATCGATTGGGGTGTGTTTGAGAATCGGGAGAATCGCGTCGCGACGGTGGCGACTACGGCGCCGCCCTTGGCCGCGCAACAGCTGTGGTCCAGCCGTTTCTGTTATCTTGACCGTGAGAGCATACTAATAATTATTACATATATTACCGCTTTGTTTGTTTGTATATTAGTCTATTAATAGCAAAATTATACCACCGAATTATAGTAATTACGGTTTAATGTAGGTACTCTTATAAAGCTTCTGTGTTAACTTTTGTATCCTCACTGTCGAAGTAACTTTTGCTACATTATTAGTCTTCATTTATCATTTTTTTAAATTTAATACAAGTACTAAATTATAATTTTTGGTTATATTATTTCATTGAGTGGTTTCTAAAGAATTTTCATCAAAATAGGTAGGTACTTTCCCTTTCAGTAAATAAATCATATTATAATTATACATAAACAAACATATTAAATATAAAGTACATAAGCAACCTAGTCTTTACCGGTACATACTACATATTACTTTAATAATATTAGAATATTAATTATTTTTATACATTTTATAATATGGTGTGGTAAACTAAGATCACAAATTTTTATTTGAAATTAATATTTATGACGGTATTTTTGTATTTGCTTGATCTGTTTTTTACCATAGGGAATTCTGAAAAAGACGTCGCTAACCCTACGCTGCAATGTATTGATATTATGCACACGCGATGCATGATAGAGATTACAGATGCAAAAGCTGTGAATATCAGTTAGATTAGACTATTGTCGATTGTATTGCTTTCTAAATAAGAACTGTAATAGTGTGAACGACGTTAACAGTTACAATACTAAACTATACAACAGTAAATCGTTTTATAGAGGACTAGAGGTACATTCCTTAGTTAGAATCGCGTTGCGGACGGAAATGGACGTTCAGTAGTCAGTGGTTGGACGTTTATATATTAATATATTGTGAATTATATAAGTGATATTCAGTGCTTCATACATAATATGAACTTAACGTGAAGTTTTAATGTTAATCATTGCATTTAAACGTTTTGATCGTTTTCATTACATTTTGAATATTTAAACAAAACCCACATTTTAGTGGTTAGAGTGTTACATTTTTGAGTACGGTATTAAAAAATATTTTATTAGATTGTTATTTAATTAAAATAATATATTAACGTTGCAGTAATTTCGTATATAATGTACAACACGATAATTTCTACCACGTAACCACTCACCGCATTCAAGCAGAAACAGTGTATTGGTATTCAAAACGCGTATTTTTCGACGGCACGAGCGTACTATATAAATTATTTCGAAGCAAACAATTTTAATACGAGTTTTAAAAAGATAAAATTTTGTGATTACGCATATTTTTAATAGATTGTCTTATCGTTATCAGTACTAATTTATTCATGTCCCACATCTCGTGCCTATTATCTACTTATTAAAGAATCAGTTCACGTAGATATACTTTTACAGTGTACTTTCTTCATTAATTGTTTGAATCTGATAATGTAGCTTCTTTAAAATTAAAATTTTAGTGAAAATAACAGGGCTTCGCGATTTCTTGTTCATTTATAAACCTATTATACATAATATTGTTTCATTAGCGCTGCTTGCAAGTGCTCGACCGCTTCTTTTTATTATATTATCTTATAATTCAAATGTTCTTGAAACTTTCACATATCACGATTAACTTTCCACTTAATAACCTGTCGTGTGTCAGTAACGTTGGCCCAGAGAGCTAATAAGTTTCCAGAATAAAATAGCTTTCAGTTTAAATTCACAGCCGGTGTTTTAACGTAAACGGAACAAGGTCTTAGTGGAGATTTGTTTTATATAGACGGTGTGCAAGTTGTATGATACTTTTAATCAGATCGGTGTATCGTTTTTGATAGGCTTCAGGTTAACATTATACTTCAATTATAATGTTACGCAACTCTAGTGCCAGTACTAACAAGTTCACATATCTTTTACCTATAATACACACAAAGAAACACTGTATGTACTGTACCTACCATACAAAAAAAAATACTAATTATATTATATTAATGATATAAAATGACAGTCAAAATTGTTAGACTGTATCCAAATGAATTGTTTATCTTGCAAGAAACAATGACTCAATAAAAAAGTATTTTTTGGATTTAAATATCATGAAAATTATATTTCGTTGATAGTTCATTAGATAATGATGATGATGTCACAGACGTACACATATTTAGGATCGTTAATATCTTTAAAATACGAATATAATGGTAGCTAGCTGATACAAGATTAAAGTACAAATAACTGAAACCAGTTGTGTCCACACTCGTATTATATGATACTTTAAGTTTTAATTTGGATTTATTAAAGTATTGTTTGCAAATGTGTTTGTCTAAATGATAAACTCTGTCTCTTACGTTAAGTTTCTTTAAAAGCAAAACAACTTAAGTGAGGTAGGTCTACCTGCTGACAACTGGAAAGGCAAACGCGATACCAGTTTGGATAGTTATCTTGATAGTTGCTACACATCTTTTTTATAGTCATACTTCGAATGTTATTCGAAATATTGGTTAGCGTTATAATGTTCTTGATTCCGATGATTCCCTTTTAAATTTATCAGAGGCAGTTTGATAGTGATGGCAATCACGGAAAAGTTAAGAAGTAGTAGGCTAGGGTAGTATAGGAATATTATACAGCGGGCAGAAAATCATGTAGCAAAAGGATTGTTTAATATAAAAGAGTAGAGGGAGGCTTATAATGAATGGACATAGTAAGGGATAATATACGTGAAAGGAGAGTGAGGCTGATAGAGGGTCCGTTTTTAAATTTACGTTTTTGTATTTGTTGTTACCATCTTCTATTAGTATAAACATAATACTTGTAACTTTCCATATTGCTGCAGATTATATTTAAATTTGCAATTTACTTAATATATTAGAATTTCGTGATATCCTAATGGGTAGAGTTGTGTGAATGACAAAAAGCAGTACGCGATCAAGACAAGGCTGTTTGACGTCACTCACTGAGTCACGTGCTAATCGACCTTTTGCAATGCATACAACATTTTAACATGGGTTAGCAGTTTATAGAAAGAGTGAAAACTGAATGGTTTTTTAATTGCATTGGTATTAATAGAATTGTTTCTATTAAAAATTGATGAATAACTTGACGGCCAAATTTTATTATTTTATCGTCAATAAACTTGTCGATTAAAATAATTAAACTCTGTAAAGTATTCAATGAGAGTTATAATTCAAGTCAAGAACTTGAATGTTTTTGAATCAACGGCAAAAGTTTTCCTTTGTAGATTTTTTTTTAAAAAACATTTCCTGTTTTTCCCCA